AATGACTTGTTAACTGGACGATGAGTCATTGAAACGAGATTTTATAATAATAAAAATAGTACAGTAAATAATTGTAACTATTTTATTAAAAAAAGAAACGACTTCAAAAGCTTGTGGAAGTTTTATTGAAATCGGTTACCGGAAACGGTTTCGCACAAACCGGATTTATCCTCTAGTTAGCCACACTTAGAGGTAGAATATTTCCTACAAATTTAAATGAAACCAATACTGAAGTACCCTCTTTCCAACAAAACAAGAATTATTAAAATCGGTTCACAAAAAGAGTAATCGTGTAACATACATTCAAAAGAAATACACTAGAATTGAGAACCTCCTTCTTTTTTAAATCGGTTAAAAAATGGACTTCAATCAAGTGAGCCTCTTGATAGAATCAACCATAACATAATTAAATTCTTTACTTAAATTGTTGTTGCAAACGTGACGTGTCGTATCCAGGCTCCTAAGATCTAAAAAGAACTTGTAAATTATTGGCTCATTGACAGTGTTTGCTATGTCGCCTTCAGCAAACTTTCTAGAATTTGTCTGTCTGTTTTAATTGTGATAATCTTCAATCAGACCACTGTCCAATAATTCATGTATGTGGTAAGTTTGGATAGTTCCAAAACTATGATATTAATATAGTCTACGACTTAGAATAATAACGCATAGAATGAAAGTTTCATATCAAACGAACTGTCACACGTGAGGCAAAAATCAAATTCATGTAGGCTAGTTTTAGTAGTAGGTTAATTTTCGGTTTTAGTGAATATTTATATAAAAATACAAGTTGAAACGCGTTACTTCCTTGTGGAATGTGATGTTAGTATCTATTTTATGTTTCTCTGACGTATTTTTACACTCATTTACCGCACATTTCGTCATTTTTAGCTAAAATTCTTGAGCTTTTCGCGGTGCAAGTTGGCCTTGAGCACTGACGGCTCGCCCGCTCGTGTAGGCCCATTGGGCGCGCTTCAATTTGCCTCACTTAGCGTGTGCGGACTAGGTTTCTATGCGTTATTATTCTAAGGTCTACGATGGATCCCTGGAATGTGATTTTTACCTACATGGCATATTATTGCCTTTCGTAATAGTCGAAAACGCTTTTGTAGAATTAATACAATATTTAATTGAAAAGAGCAGAATGCGTCATCAATATAGAGGACTTATTTCCAGAAACAAAACAATATGGAGGACAGGGAAGCTTTTTTATGATGTCAGGTGACGGGACAAAGAAATCGTGTGCCGAGTAGTAAGCGACACGAATATCCATAGCAGTGGAAATGACACTCATTAAAGCTTATATCGTAAAGATCTGAGAGACGTTGCCATTGTGCTCGTCATCCTGAGTTGACAAGTTCCATGTACGTGTAATTTTACCAGCACTTCTACCCTTCAAAACCGGAACGACGTAACGCTCAAATTACAGCCTAGCTGCAGAAGTAGGTAAAGTGGCAGTATTTCTCAGGGCGAGCTCCTTCACAAGTAGCTTTCACAAAGTAATAAATGAATTGAATTGCTCTACGGCTACTAACAGGTTTAGCTAGTGTCGCGTCCAGCGTGCATTGATGTCCTGCGTCCAGTCTCTGGCCACAAGGCAGACTGACTAGACTGGTAGATATTCAAAAATACCGACTGTCTTTTGGAAAAAAGAAGACTATAGCAATCCCGACTAAACCTCTGACGAGAGAAGACGACTCCTTCTTGACGTCCTACATTATTGTACAGACATACCGCACATTATGCATGACAAACAAACAAATAATTACTTTGTCGTCTTCTCGTTTTTTTTAAATCATATTTCTGTGTGAGTGTACACAAAATATCTTTTATTTAGTTAAGATAGATAGAGATAGGGTTGCGCCCTGCGGTATCGTGGGCAGGAAGCTGACAACGGCTCCTTTTTGGAACGCGAAGTTTATTTTTTGGCGAGAGTTGTTGCCGACGCGTTCACTTGAGTCTTCTACAAGGCTAATTCAAAGCTCCTTACAGTAATAACGTATAGTAGATAGGATAACGTATCCAGCCAATCATCATTCCTCATCAGCCGGAAGACGTCCACCGTTGAACATGGCTTCCCTCAAATATTGACAGACACGTTCGACCGTGGTCGGACGTGACGTGCACCCATCGGTTACCCGCCGCCCTTACCAGGTCATCCGTCCATCTAGTAGGGAGCCGTCCCACTGAACGCCTTCCGGTTCGTGATCTCCATTCGAGAACCTTTCAGCCGTCATGGCCGTCAGCTGGAACTGATTGTCAAGGCTTAAATCAACAACAGTTAAACACGCACCCACCACTCCCGGTATCCCAATATCGGGGCTGATGGATGCCAACTTCCACCATGCGCAGGATGCTATTCATGTTGAGACGGAAGTGACTAAGTTCAGCATATTGCTTTCAAATAATAGGACAGGTATCGTCAACACGCTTATAATACGGCCGTGAACTGACTCGGAACAACATTCTGAATGCGTAGTTATATTCTTTGCTTTGTTATCTTTGGGAAAAATCACTTTTGTATTTTATAGTGAATAAGAATAAATTTATAGGTAAACATTACAATAGGACTTCATTTCAGACAAATATTAACAGTAATTAGAGTTGTCAGCTGCGCAACATCCAGATCACGCAAAAGGAATTAACTTGTGGTATATAGAATTGTTGTTGCAAAAATGTAATACTATTGTTATCACGGCAGACAATCATTAATCTTGATTTATCATAGGTTAACAATAGGGTGTTCGGATATTAATCCGAAAGCTAATACAGAAGCGTTTCAAAACACAGGAAACGCAAATCTAGTGTGCATAGGGATTTAATTTTAAACTTTCTTGGTAAGAGACGTCTTATTAGGCGTCCTTTTATTTGTGTGAAAATCAAATAAACTAATTTTAAAATATAAAACGCTCATTTAATATAATTTTCACTTAGACTAAATACATTTCCTGTCATTTAATTTTATATAATTTTCGTTTGCAAATAATATTCACATTTTATAAGATAATTTTATATTATAAATTAATTGTATTAACGTTTTACAAAAACATTTTATGAAACTCTACCGAATTTGTTTATATTTACTACCGAACATGTTTTATGTTAAATTTATTTCCGGTTAATAATAAATAGGTTATTATTTTATGTAAACCGAGGTTTTTAACCATTGACTTACAAATAAATGGACGACGGGTCTAATACAAAAACCACGAAAAAAAGTCCCAAGTCAACCTATTTAAACGTAGTGACATGTAAAGGAATATGAAAAAGCTAAAACGTTGAATTTAAATTGTAATGTCATCGCAGTACTGTCTAATTTTGCTTGCTTTGCTGTCAGAAAAAACAAACGAAGACTAAAGCGTGAATGACGCTCTGTATACGATTTTAACGCCGTATAAGTTCGGACACTTTTTAGCACGGACCCGACGTCCATATAATTGTAAATCAATGTTTTTAACTCATAATTGCTATATAAAATGAGTGTTAGGCTTAATTATTGTTATAAAAAATGAAATTATAGAATAAAAGTTTATATTAAAAAAATAGTAATGTAATGCATTATACACCCGTCTTATTATTTTTTAACATTATTTTTTTCCATGCAGATTTACCAATTTGCAACTCTATGGATGACACGGAAATATACGGAGCCCAGAAAGAAGAGACAGTTTCTTTGACGTGTTCAGTGGACTCCAGCCCGCCTCCGACAAGTTTCACTTGGACCTTCAACAGATCTGGGGAGCAATCAGAATTAAAACCCGAGTAAGTTGGTTTTTCGAAACTGACACTGGCCCAAGCCTAGTGGCCGCCATTAAGGAAATAGAATAGAATAGAAAGTTGGTTTTTGAAGTTTTGTTCCGGTGTTTTTTTTTATGATACTTAGTGACAGGACAAACAAGTCGTGCGCCTGATGTTAATCCACACGTCTGTCCATAGCAGTTGCAGAGCCACTTAGAGCTTTAAATTGCAAAGATCTAAGAGACTGCCACTGCGCCTGTCACCTTGAGACAAGTTGACAAGTCTCACGTGCCTGTAATTTCATTTTTTGAACCATAATGGATCACATTTATGCCTCTGAATCGATCCACTGATCGAATCATATGCTTGTGAATCGATCTCATAAAAATCATTTCAAATTTAATAAACAAAAATTGATTAAAAAAAAATTTTCAGCCTTTTTGGACCCAGTAGGTTACGACTTTGATTTAGATTGATATTAACCAGTGAGAAAAGACGTTCAGATCGTATCGATCGATCGAGTAGCAACAATCGCCAAAATATCGTAGACTTACGTACGTAGACGTGTGCTCCATACGATATAATACATGTTATAATACAGGCTCACGTAATGCGTGCGGCGCGCGATCTACATATCATTTGCGTTTACTTCCCCGGTTTTGGTGTTTCTCATGACGTACTAGTGGCTCATTTGACCGCTTTCTTAAGAGAATTTATAGATAAAAATTCTGATGCCGATTATGTTTTGATGGGAGATTTTAATTTGCCTGATATAGAATGGAGGACAGACTCCGGAAAACTTACCGCCACTTTTACCATTCAATATGACGAAAATGTACAAATGCGACTTCCTTCGGACCCTTTCCAGTTTTAGTTTTGAAGAGTATAATACCGTAATAAATGGTAACAATCGATACCTCGACCTTATTTCTAGCACTCTGGAAGTAACTACGACCCGTTGCGCTCTCCCCATGACTCGAGAGGAGATGCCCCATCATCCAGCTATTGATTTAGAATTGCCAAATGTAATTTTATAAAAAATGCTAAGGATACGAAAACCAGAATTTACATATTTAGGAAGGCAAATTATGAAGTTATAAGATGTCGGCTGGCCTCCATAGACTGGTCCAAAAAACTGGATAGCGCTGAAATAGACAAAACTGTATTATCCTTTAACGTTACTACAGTGCATTATTAACGAGGAGGTACCTAGTTTTTTGAGCAATGAACGTGGTTATCCGGTGTGTGTTCAATATTTACAAAACTGTGTGCTAAGGAGCTTGCACCTCCTTTGACTGCAATTTATCGTCGGTCTATGAATGAGGAAATTTTCCCCGTCAAATGGAACGAGGCTTAATCACTCTTATTCATAAAAATGGCTCAAGACACAAAGTTCGATAATTATAGACCCGCTTCAATACTGTCTGTTTTCGGTAAAGTGTTTGAGTTTATCGTTCATGATCAATTATATCCGGTGGCTGCAGCTTATATTCCAAGTTCTCAACAGGGTTTCATGCGCAAGAGGTCGACCGTCTCAAATCTTGCTATATTTACAAACTTTGTCACTAAGCACATGGATGGGGGTTCCCGGGTCGACACCGTGTACACTATTCTAAATATTTTGAACGTATCGATCATGACATTTTAATATCAAAATTAAATGATATCGGTGTGCATGGGGACTTGTTGAGATGGCTTTAGTCTTATATTCGGAATCGATCGCAATCTGTAAGAATTGGGACTTTTAAATCGAACTTGGAATTCATCCCATCAGGTGTACCGCAAGGATCCCACCTTGGTCCGTTGCTTTTCAACATATACCTACATGATATAGAGACATGCTTCAGGTACTCAAAAGTGTTAATGTATGCAGACGACAAAAAATCTTTATGCCAATCCGCTGTGCCGCTGATTGCGAGAAACTTCAAACTGACCTAGATAGATTAACGGATTATTGTAAACTGAATCATCTTAACTTAAATATCAAATATGCCAAATAATTTCATTCACCCGAAAGCGTACTTTTATCTCTCACGTGTACCATCTAAATGCACTTCTATTTCTAGAGTTAAACTCGTCCGCGATCTAGGCGTAATGCTAGTCATAAGCTCTTGTATACGTCGCATTTCGATTTAATTACCCAGAGATCTCATAGAATGCTTGGATTTCTTCATGGAAGTGCAAAACGTTGTCGGCAGATAGAATCTTTAAAAAAGCTGTATTTTGCTTATGTCAGAAGTGTGGTGGAGTAGCTACGCCTCCCCTATATGGTCTCCATCTTATATGACTCATATAGCCCAGTTGGAGTCCATGTAGCGTTGTTTCACACGTAGATCGAACTACTGTCTCAAAAGCTAGGATGACTACCCCGGTATACTAATTTTTTTCCAGCTGGATTCACTCGAGGATAGGCGTCCTGAATGAGGAACCGTCCTCATGAAGTTTCTATTTGACGTAGTTAACTCTGTGTTGGATTGTCTTGAGTTGACCGCTTGCAATGGTCTATGTGCCTACCCGACTCGAACAAGACATATGCGCTTCTTGCACATGGGCTCAGCCCGTTCAAACTACGCGAATCACTCTGTTTTGCATAGATTGTGCGTACTTAGATCAAATTTAAAGACGTTGATATCTTCTTTTTCAACCGCAACAATTTTATTAATTCGTTGATGGAACACTCCCACTTTAAAAGGTAATTATTGTCATATAAACGGAGCACAAACACACATACACACATACACCTTCACACAGTAGACACACAAATGCGCGTACCCTAGTATAGTCCATTTGTTTATTATATTATATTGTAAGTCGCATTAAAAAATATAATAATTAAAAAAATATTGTCTAAACCTGTTAATACAACGGAATTTAGTTTTAAAAAGTTACCAATACGTATTTCAATTTGTTAGATTGTTCTTTGATAAACAATATTTTAAGTAGTTTACAATTAATTGTAATCTGACAAACTTTGTAATTGGCTATGTAAGTAGATTATTCAGAGTTGTAAACCAAATTTAAAAGCTGCAAAGATTGCGAAAAAAAAATTGTACTTAGATGTTGCCAAACTACTTTTCTTACATACCAAAATAAGATTAGCGTTACGACTCAGTAGAGGTTCAGAAAGGGACTGTTTTGTTAAATTATGAATACGATCTAGACGCTTAAAAATCGCATTGAAATGAATCGATGCAAAAAATCGCTAGATCGTGTACATTTGAATCAATCTTCATAAAAATCGAACTTCTTGGTATGAGCTTCGTGGTACGTACTTCCCACGCATAATAGCGTGCACCTTATTGGTTTTAGTACGTGAGATTATGAGATTTTGTGTATAATTTGCATTTCAACCGCATATTTATAAGGCAAATTTGTAAGAATTAATTTAAGAGATTGTGAGGTATTTATTCCAAAAATCGCCTGTACTATTTTGGAGGAACTACGCTTTGGAGCTGTTTCTTTGTGAGTCTTTGTCTACGGTCTTAAGTGCTATTTTATACTTCTTAAATTTAAATTGAAATTCTTGTTTCAAACAGAAATGCAGTATTTGAACGAATTACTAGCACATTTTTAGTGAAAATATTCCACTAGATTGGTGTTATTATGGAGATACAAAGAGTTTTCTTTATGATGCAAAGTCACGGGACGAACAAGTCGTACCACCAGGCGATGGTAAGCGACACGCCGCCGGTCCATATCAGTTGCAGTGCCACTCAGAGCTTTAAATACCAAAGACCTGAGGGACACTGCCACCGCGCCCGTCACCTTGAGACATAAGTTGACAAGTTCCATGTACCTGTAGTTTTACCAGTATCCTTATACTGGAACAGAAACAGAAATAGCCAATGTGGCAGTACTTCCTTGGACGAACTCTTTCACAAGGAGCTCTGCTACTAAAACACAAAGAAAGATACAAAGATTGAACAAACACAAAGAAAAAATCCTTCAAGTCGGCTGAAATCAACCAGCGCCTGTTTGCCAGACCGGGGCAAACCGGTCTTTCAACTGAACTACAGAACGAATCAGCAGACTTCACGTATTTCTCTATGCGATTGCTGTCGGTTTTTGTATCTGTAGCACTTGTGTTATGGAAATCGGAAACAACAACGGTACAACAAACTCTCAGACCCAAGACAACATTGAAAAGTTAGTTTTCTACATTGACCTGGCCGGGAATCGAACCCGGGACTTCAGAGATGGTAACACCATGAAAACCGGCGTGGCAGCCACCACGGAGTTTGTCAAAATAGAAATCTATGAAAGTTTTTTCTTTACTCGAGCAGATATCCTTACAGCTACCAGCAGCTAATTGAATTACAACCATATTGAAAACGGAAAGTAGATTGCTTTCGCTTTGCTGAACGAAGAATTTCATTGTCTTAAGGATCATTTTGTCTTCATCATCATCAACCTTATTATACGTCCCGGGCATGAGTCTCAGGGTTCAGATTATATTGACCCAATGCGGGACAATGGGGACTTCACAATGTTTCCAAGGGTTGTGAACATACTTGTTCCGTTGCCGTGAGCCTAAGTTAATTGCCGTAAAGTAAGCCATCAGTCGAAAGCGCGAAAAATTCCTAATTGTGCCATTAAAAATTTGCAAAACCACCACAGCTACGAATAGATGAATAAACAGGGACGTTTCCTGTCATAGTGAAGTAATTTTGTACTAAGAATATGCATAATTTATTTTAAAATCAATTATTTTCAATTTAAATGAATTCTAAGTAAACAAATTTGCAAACGAGTGTGCGCCGCTTGATTCGTAATATATTGCGGCTTTTACTTGATGCGGTACACTTGTAGTCCTTCATTAGTAGGCCATGAGTATCGAACAAGCGAAACCTTCGTATAATGCATTCAGTTTCGTGGTACGGGCGCTTGTTATGTTTTTGGTCGAGTTTTACAATTAGTGATGTCCACTTGATATAACACAGTTTTCGATTCTGATCGATTTAGGAAACAAAAGGATGATAATTCCTAGACCTTAGAAAATGTTATGATAAAAATATTATATAAAATTTATTGTTTTTTTTTTAGTTTTCCGGAGCAATTTTTTTTTCAAAACGCGTGTCAGTAAAGGACTTAATTGTCTTATTCTGGTATTATTTTACTATATTAAGAGGAAGCAGAGGACAAATTCCTAATCTTCGATTTGATTTTAGAGGGATATATCCACTTTAAAGTTAAAAATAAAATATTGTATGTGTAACTACACGATATATTCAAGCATAGACATTAATCAGAAATATAAAACAATAAAGTTTCCTCGATAAATAAAAATCACGAAATGACCTCTAATTTTCACATTTTATCGATTTATCCTCGAAATGCTACAGGTTATTAGGACAAAAATTAGATAATTAATTATATTTATGCATGATCGACAACTGTCACTACGGATTTTTTTAATCCCTTTAGTTTTAAAGTTATTCCGCTAAAACGAATTTGGTACTTTTAATGCGCAAAATTCAACATCTCCTGTCGCATGTCACGTGAACTTCAGGCATATATTTGTTTCACAAATTTGGGCGAGCCAACGTCAAAGCTTTTTTGATATGAGAGCTCTTAATATTTCACGGCTTCTTATAATTAACAAATACTTGAAAAATTATTATTCAGAATACATGCCGCATCCGTGTCTTTGATTGACAATGGCTTTAATGCCGAAGAAGGTTTCCCATCGCTAAATAGCGCTTGACATCGTCAGAGGTACAAAAAATGTGGCACGCTTGGTTTTCATACAGATCGCGGTACTTGCAGTGTCTATTTAGATATATGTCTGTGATTATGTACGTAACTTAATTAACTAAAGTTCATGCCGCGACGGGGATTCGAACCGTGGACCTCTCAACTGAAAAGCAACATGTCTCATACTGGCCCACCACGGCTTATTCTGTCTTAGTGGCGTGCTAATTTGACTTTTATGACAACGTTATTGATGTCTTTTTAGTAGGCCAGCGAAATCCTGAATACTTTTCTTGAGAAATAGTAATAATGGTATTGCGTGATAACGACCGGAATCCGGACCGCATGCATTCACAGGAAGTTCTAAATATAGCAAATGCCGTTCCTTTCTTCGTAGTTATCTATCATGTACCTGTAATTACGAACAAAACACCAACAAAAAAAAATAAAAAAAAATAATTAAAACACAAACAAGAACACTAAGTATAAAACTATTTTGTGTAATAAAAGTGTCACTTACTCTTACTTACATCACTGATTTTCAGTTTTTTTACTCTTATCCCCGCTCTAAGTGAAATAAATATAGGCCACACAAATATTTCTCCCGGTGTTGCCATCAAACCCGGGACATCTGCGTGACAGTCCAGTATGGTAACCGTTCAGCCACGGGGAAGCAATTAAAATAAATTAGTTAGGATCCTGGGTGTATTTCCATCGACGATTTTTAAAACTTGTATGGCAAAATATCAATTCTCTCATAGCGCATCTTCGGTGGAAATGGTCGGGATTGACGAAGATGGGCGAGACGAGATTTAAAATATTTGTTGATGTAACATTAAACCGTATTGCTGCCTACATAAACTCTTTATTAACTCTGCAACGGAAACACGATTCATAACGTCTGGTACGATATCGCGCGAGCTCGCGCGTGCTCGCGAGAGACCGTGATGGCAATTTTTGGTGGAAATAGTTCGGCAAGACTTCAATTCTCGCCTCGCCTCGTCTCGTCTCGCCTCGTCAGTGGAAAAGCACTTGCACTTTAATAATAGGTGAGGTCACGGAAAAACAATACGCAAGCATATTGATTTAAATATGACAATAAAATAATTAAATTATTATTGTACACATTTAACTATAATAGATGGATACCTAAGTTACAAGTAAACAATTTTACTTAGCTTAGGCATCACCTTTTTTACGCCGGAAAATGCCTTACGCATACCGCTCGCCTCGGCGGAACAGCGAGTGGTTATGTGGGAGTCCCAGGCGGTAGTCCTTGTATACCCACTAAAGCCCAGCGGTCAACCCCACCGCCAGAGAGGACGACTCAGGATCCGCTTGCGCATGCTCTGGGACTTCTTGGCGGGTGGCCTACGGGAGGCGGGCCCCTACCTTCGGAGGATACCCCGGGGTGTAATGGCACCCTCAGACTTGGTGGTAAGGGACCCCAGACCCTAGTTTACGGCGGGGGAAGAAGGTGGGCGTACTGCCTCCTTTGTATCACTTTTTTTTTTTTTTTTTTTTTTTTGTTAATCCGGGGGAATCTGCTTACAGATACCCCGGCCCCGCGGGGGGAGAGCCTGGGTTATGTGGGACTGGGCTAAACCCTGAAGGGGAGCTGCCCGACCGCACTAAAACCCCGGAGTGTTCCTCCTCTCCGCTGTTGTACTCGTCCGCGCCCCCACCAGCGGTTGGCCGCGCTCTGCGCAGCCCCTCCCCGAGAAGGGAGACACATCGCCCCCCACCGGCCACCGTCGACGTGGAGCAGAGGGCGGTCAAGTTCAGGGAAGACTTGACCGCCGTCTGCGAGCGGGCCATGCCCAGGGTCAGAGGGACCCCGGGCAAAAAGAGTGTATACTGGTGGACCGCGGAGATTGGGGACCTCCGCACCGCCAGTACTACGACCCGGCGGGCCTACGGCCGATGCCGCCGCAGGCGCCACACCCAAAGTGAGGAGAGAAGGCTCCACAGCGCCCTCCAGGGCGCGAGGCAGGCCCTGAAGGTCGCAATAGGGCGGGCCAAGGACTCTGCGAAAGAGGAGTTCTTGGCCACCCTGGACGCAGACCCATGGGGGAGGCCGTACAAAGTTGTGCGCAACAAATTGCACGGCGCATCTCCCATGGAGTCACTGGAGTTGGATCTCCTCAACCGGGTGGTGGAGGGCCTTTTCCCCGAACCGCAGCCCTTCACCCCACCGGCCACGGTGCCCCCCAGAGCAGACGGGGGGCAGACTGAGGAACCCCC